TTATAAAACCAAGCGAAAATACATATATTATATAGAGTTTTTCCTTTTATTTGCGGTGCATTTAATGAGACATCACACAATTGCTCTTTTAAACTTTGACACAGACACACTGCAGGAGGACCGGAGTGAAAACGCAACCCATGATGACTCCACAATGGTTTATTCTAATGGCTAAGCTCTTAATCTATCAGATCAGATTTCAAAGTGCCAGTAGCTGTGCCAAGACAGGTCCCAGGAAGGAGAACCCTTTTGTTTGGGGCAGAAAATCTTACATTTAAGACCAGACTTTATTCACAAGGGCCCATATCACTAAAAAAAAAAAAAGAAAAAAAAAAGAAAAAAGACATGACCTGTTACGGAAGCAATACCTCAAAGAGCAACATCATTAAGAAACAGCAAGTGCTTGTTTTCACATCCACCTTTGGTGCACCACCAGCGCTTTGCCAGCATTGTCAGACCTCAGGTATGGCAAGATAAATAGCTGTCTTATTTTGTGCCTGTGAGAGCCCAGCTCCTTGTGGGGTGGTGCTCTCAGCTTCACGCTCCACCAACGCTGAAATAAAGCTCTGTGCGAGGCATTTCAACACTGCTTAAGGTTGTCGGTGGCCGTGTAATTTATGAGTTGAGAGGACTTCGTTTTTAAGTTCACTATGACCTACAATCTTCCAGCATTCATGGGTGGAGAAAAGAGCCGTGTGAGTCATACTGGAGGAAACTTACAACACCCCTCCAATTACCTTAAACAATGGCGGTCTGAGTGATACCTGCAGCGTTGTGGTGTGCTGTTCAGGAGCCAAACCTGACGTGACCTAAAGGAATTGGACGTAGAGGCACTTTGACAGGTTAGGTGTCTTGTCACCTGTAGGTCAGTGTGAAGCTGGTAGGAGCTGCTCACTTCATGGCCCATAGCTCTCAGTGGGTGGTCATATGAAGAGACAGAAAGACAGACAGACAGACAGACAGACAGACAGACAGACTGACATGCTGACTTGTGCTTGCTGGCACTGGTTGCCTCTTTGGCAACCTACTGCAGACGGAAAGATAGCCTCCTCGGAGAATGACTTGATTAGGTTTTTGGCTTTTGTATTCGAAAAATAGAAAATATATAGTCACATTTTTTGGGGGCTTATATCAATTTTTTAAGGTTTAGATATTTGAGACAAATATTGTGTGAGGTATGGAAACATTTTCAAAATTTAAATACTTCTAGAATTAGGAGTACTTTTCTTTTTTTGTCTGTGGAAAATAGCAGTGTTTGAATATTGTTTTAAAAATATTCTTTCCAATGGCCTCTTTTGTCAGTTTTTGATGAAAACATTTAAGTTTTTATTTATGTGTTAAAAACAAACAAAATACTTAAAAAAAAAAAACTTAAAAAAAATATGGAAATATGATTTATTGTCACACTGTTATGAGCAATTAAACATTTACATATCTTGTGTTTGCCCTTTGTTACAATGAGAGGATATATGACTTGATAATTGTGTTTTATTGCTAAGCCATCACATAAAGGGAAATTAAACCACACATTATCAGGGTGGTTTTATCAGTGGCTCCAACTGTAATTCCACATCATGAAATTTACAATCAGAGTTATTATATTGTGTTTACATTTCGACCACAACAAACAAAAAAATATAGCCTATAAATGGTTTTCAAAAATCCTCTGGAAGAAAAGGTTCATTATTTTCAAAGTAAAGTATCTATAGGAAAAAAATGTGGACAAGCATCTTTTATTGTCTTTAAATCAGTATCTAAATATGTAATTAGATAAAACATGTTGCTTTTGAAAAAAAACAACAACTGCTTTGTTAATATTATTGATCCAACTAATTATCAGATGTCAGATGAAATTCTACACATTTGAAAATACAACAGTATTATATTACATTACAGTATTACATTACATATTACATTTTACAGGTAACAGAATTAAATGTTTTAAAAAACAAATAATAATTTAGCATATAAATTACATTTGAAAAAACAAATGTATTCAAATTCAAATTCAAATTCAAATGAATATATTTTTCACAATCATCATCTTTTTGATATAATAATTTAATAATGAAAAAATATAAAGCACACAACAACACAAGTCAAAAGCCAGTATTAACAGAAATATTAAAACATTAAAATATTCTCTTTAAAATGCATATTTTATTATTTACAATTACATTAATTACACTGGCAGTGTAAAGGAAATATTTATTTTAATGCTTTTTTGCTGAAAATGCTGCAGCCATAAGAATAAGATTTTTTTTTTTTTTTTTTTTTTGGTGCATGAAAATTAGGTTAAATAAAAATTAACAAAGGCCAATTGCATAACTGATTACAACTTCTTCATTTAAATGCCACCGTTCACGCTGGAACATTTCAGACCACGTTTCACATTAGTTTTGTTGAACGCTTTCAGGGCCCAGCACAGCCAGACATGGCTCCACCATTCACATTACCTCTCTGCCAATGTGTGAATGTCAACACCCTGTAAACACCTTTGACACACATGCTTGAATGCGACGGGCGAGTTAACTAAACATTCCTGGGTGTTCCCCATAAAGGTCTACCACTCATCCACTAGACTGCACTGACCCATCTCCCACGCTCCAAACTGCACTCATGGAGCAACCTGGACTTTTTTTTTTCCGTCACACATTCACATTTTTTCCTGTTCATCTTTTACATGTAACACACACACGCACACACACATATATATTAAACATTAAAGGATATAAAATAGAAACAACAATAATTCACCAGTCCTTGCCTGTCAGTTTTCTCCCTGTGTATAAAGCGCTATGGAACAATGCTCTATAAGGATTTGGGAATTTGGGAGTATAATTCCAGCCCCGTGCTTATCGCCACACCCAGACTATTTGAGTGTTTTGAGATGCGGGCTCCCTGAGGACGGATCGAAGGCGTCCTAGTAGAACTGCACATCAAATAAATAGGAGGATGGGATTTATATGGAGGCTGTGTCTCTGTCAAACAGGGCTCTGCTGACTGAAGTGATCCCCACGGCCTGAGTGGAAGAGAGGAGGGAGAGGAAGTCTCAGAGGGAAGAGGGATAGCTGCTGAAGAGCTGATGCGCACACACACACACACACACTCAAACACTCACACAATGTCCCTCTCAGTCCTGGGTTGTGACCGGCCCATGGCATTGGCCAGGTATGTCAACTATGTTTGCCAAGCCATCCATCACCCATGCACCTTCCCTCCTGAAACACGAACTTTTGTTTGAAGCATGCACTTGTTAAGCCCATCCTTTGACTCCGCTCAACCTAATTTATTTCCCTATAGCTGAGAAAGAGGATTTATTAGCACCTATGTTTTGTTCTTTTTTTCCTCTTATTGTAGGGCAGTAGCGAGCAAACGCGTTGGTAGGAACATGAGGCGTGTTGTCACTGAGAGAGATTGCAAGCTATACGGTTTGGGGACACCAATGGCCCTTATCGTCGGTGACCAGGGTTAGCAAATAAACACACTGTAGAGAAGTCAAGCTGCACGTAAGGAAGGGAAAGATTTATGGCTGCATGACGCTCACACATGACGAAGAGGATATGAAATGTTTTTATGTTGTGGTCGAGTCTCTGCATCATGCTGCAGAAGAACGAAAAGAATGTACCTTTCCCTTATATGATGTTCAAAATAGGTCAACTAATTACATTTGGTTTAAGTTACCTTTGTGGGCATGTTGTCGTACATAGAAAGCCATTTCATTATTTGTATAAAAGGTTATTCATAAAAGAACATACACGTACAATAATATATGTGATGTTGGAAAGGCTGAGAGGTAAAAAGGTTTCAGGAAGTGCTTTACTGACGCCAACACAAACATAAACCTGAGTCATTTCACTATTGTTGTCCAGCTTGAGAACACATTGTCTCGGTGAGACTGCGACATGAGAACCGAGGCCACAAAAACGTCTCAAAAGAAACCTATGTGTGGGCTGGTATGTTTGCTAAAGCACCTAAGTTGGAGCCTTACTTCATTCCCTGAAACACAACCTTCATTTATCTTTTGACTTCTACTCAGAGCAGATATCACTAAAAGTGCCACGTTAATGATTGACTCCCGGGCGCACCAAGCATCCTGCGTTGAGTAGCCACTTTGCCTCCTCTTGTGCTACATTTTCAGCCGTAAATGTTTGTGATCCCACTATCCTCTCCAACTCCCATACAGTATTATTAGCAAAGGAGGGGGCTGGGGCTGGGTCATGACTAACTTTCAATAAAGAACCATTGGCATGCTGAGGTAAATGGGAGATAAGAGTTTGTCTCTGACCCTTTTAGTGCTTTATAAGAATGTGGCTGTGTAAACTTAATCTCCCCTCAAGATAAATTCGGCCCTGCTTTGTGAAAGCAAGTTCATGCATTTTTTTTTTCCTGTTCTAAAGCCCACTTTGACGGGCATGAAATGAGTCCTGGACTTTTCATTGACAGTTCAAGATGGAGAGCAAACTGAGATTAGGGCATGTTAATTAATTGTGGGGTTGGTAAAGTGGCCTCCCATCCCATGAAAGACTTGTTCCGTTTATTGCCATCCTGCCAATCAGTGACAATAGTGTAATCACGAGTTTGTCGTCCTAATTCTAACTTTTTTTTCTTTGGTATTGTAGGACTTCCAGTGTAATTAAGCACACTTACTGAGCTTTTTTGTACTACCCGCATGTATTAGACTCACCTCTACCAGTTCGTAGCGCCGTTAAAATGATTATATTGCAAGGGCTTAGGGTTTAGGTCAACATTGGGGCATCAAACATTTGATTTCCTGCATTTTTGGAGAATTTTTATGCACCAATTTGTCTTTTCTGCATCAATTTATGATTTGAATGTCTTTAATTTAATCAAAATAAAGTCCTCTGTTACTTTCATGTTTTTATTGGGAGGGAGTTGTGCACTTCCCCTGTGCCCCTACGAACTCTACACCTATGTCATATTATAAAATAGCATAAAATGTAATGTATTGACCTGCCTGTTCTCCCTATCCTCTACAGATGCACATGGCTTACTTTGAAGGACACTTTCCATCCCTGCTTTCCGTCTACTTTCATCACCCTGCATCATGCAACCTGAAAGCACTTCCCCATCGATGTACTTGGCTATATCTACGTCTGACCTGTCTGCCATATGTAATATCAAAGCCTCTGTCAGCGTGGAGCTGAATGGGAACAAAAGAGAGGCCTCCATTAATGATTAACTGTTCTAAAAGCCCCGGCTTTTGTATTCCCATGGTGCCCGGGCTATCTGGCCACCATGTGACATGCTCACAGCATTTTTCGAGCAGATTGGGGGAAAGCTAGTGAGCAAACACAGGTGCTTTGGAGCAGCGTTGCCGACGCTGTCAGGGACAACCACAAACAAGAGCAGCTATGCCTGGCTAAATGAATCCCCACCCCTCCCAACACCATCACCACCTCCGCTGCTCCCCCCCGCTCTCAGTCGCTAGCTAACCTGTTTGCTAGCTCCCTATAGCTTTCTCCCCTGCAAAGCCTTCCTTCTGGAGCGTCCCCACGTCCCCCCCTACAAGTCCAATGTCCGCTACAGCCGCTGCTCCACAACTTCTCACACCCTCCAAAGAAACAAACAAATAAAAATGAGGACGGCCGACCACTTCTTTGAGGTGATGGCATTTGCTGTGGTCATGACTAGTGGGAGAGCAAACAAATTAATGGCGTTCGAGTTTTCACTTTCCAAACCAAACTAAATGTCTTTTAGTTCAAGTGGGGCAATTCCACTGACCTTGGTGTCACACGCTGTATAAGGGTTGCACACTCTTACACTTGAAATGCTGAGAGGAGGCCGTAAGAAATTAAACAAGGCTTGAGTATTGGCCTACATGGACCTGGTTTGTTAAATGACATGTGACCTATAAATCTTGAATAAACTGTGTGTGTAATAAATACTCATGGTTTATTTATTGTTTTTTGCTGTTTATGTATTTGGACCACAAACTTGAACAAGAGGTGTGTGGAGCACTTAACCTTTTCATCGGGGCTGACTGATTGTTCAGAGTGACTGGGGGTGCTGTGTCGCTCAACTTTGATAAGACAATCAGATGATAGGATGGCGTTATCTTAACATGGCTTTCCGGCTGGGGGACAAATGAACAGTGTGTGATAACAGGAACAAAAGCTTGGCTCTTATTGGCTGGCTCCTCCAAAGAAAGGGGGGAAATTATCAGGATGGAAAATTCACAATAGGCACAGTTTATTTCATTTTCAATTTTCTACTTAGCCCAGGTCACAGGGACAGCTTCTTTTTTTCTAATCACTCAAATATTTATATTGTCTCTTGTTGGCATTTTGGTCTCACAGTCTGTAATTACCTGCGCCTATAAAGCTGTTATTATCACTGGAAAGATAATAAAAAAAATATTTTAAAACAAACAATTTAAATCAACAGGGGAGGAAATTAAGTTGTAAAAGTCAGAGAGACAGATACAGAAAAGCAGGCTGTGAGTAAGAATATATATACTGTGGACAATGAGAAATTGAAGAATTAAAAATATGGCGTGTGCGTGTGTGTGTGATGGAAAGACGGAGGAAGAAGAAGGTCAAAAGTTGTTTCTTCAGAGACCCACTACTGATCAGTAAAACGCCACTTCTGTCTGTGTTTCCTGACTTTTGCAGCCCAATTCTCAGAGTCAGAGAGGAGTGTGTGTACACTCAAGGATTCACTCAAGGCTTTGTTTGCTCTATAGCCAAAAAAATGATTGGAAAAAATATTGGTGCCCTGGCATGAACTTTCTTAGAACTAAAAAAACCCCTTTGAAACTGTGTGGAAATTGCATGAATAAAATATCTCTTTTTAAAGCAAAGGTGTCATGTGTAACTTGAAATTTTCTCTTAAAAGATCCACTGAATGTACAGCCCTCCATTTTGTTAAAATGAGCAAAATCTAAAGTTGAATTAACTTAACTTTAAACCATTCTTCCAGGGAGTAGCAGACAGGGTTTAAAGGGGCAGAGATGTATTCGCAGAAGCTCATCTCATCCCCTGTTTCGCCGCTGGTTCTCTGCGGGGATTTAGCCTCCGCTGGTCGTGAGCTGAGTCTGATCAGAGGAGTTACAAATCCTCACTTTTAGGGGTCTTACTGTAATTCACAGGCCTGTTTGTCCCACAGTAAAGCGTGGGGGCCCAACATCTCGAGAGGGATTTGAGACAACATCTTTGTTGCCTCCTCATTGTGTTCCGGTGAAAGTCGTCCAGCCCCATTGTCTGTCCAAACTCTGCTCAGACCTCGGCTCAATCAAAGAAAAGTTTTCCAGTAATGAGGGGAGACATGAAAGCTCATTGAACACAGCGACATGTTGAAAGGGCCCTTTTGATCTCGCCAGGCACAATGGTAAAATTTGAAAAGAGCAAAGTGTGCTTTAAGCAGCGACGCACCGCATTAACCTTGTCTTTTGACAGGCCCACACCTAGAAAGAACTAATATTCTGCTGGATGGAAAATGTAGCTCATGAGTAATGGCCTCCTTGAGCGGACGGGACCTTTGTACCAATTCTACCTGCTTCTTTTAGAAATTGGCTGATCAAGAAACAGATAGAGCTGGCCTGTATTCAAAGCTGTGCCACAGCAGCCTCCTTTTGTGCCCTTTTCCCACAAAAATTAACCTGTGCATGCATTGTTTTAAACGTGGGAAAACCTGTTAAAAATCAGTGATAGACTCCTTTCCCATTGCCAGTAGTACTAGTAGTTGGGTGCACGGCTCTGCAGTAGACGAGCATTCCTTTCTGGGGTTTTTTCTGGTGTGTCACATTTGATGTCACACATGGGGCAGATAACAGGTTAGTAAACAGTAGAAAGCAGCACGAAGACCAGAAAAAATGTTACGGACGTTACTAATTTTTAGTATCTCTTACTTATTCAGTCTCCGGGCCTCCCTAGTGTAGTGGCTAGTACAAGTAGTGCAGTAGTGTAAGCCAGATGTTAGCTGGTGTTAGTGGGTTTTTGGGCAATGGAAAAGAGCCTTTGGTGTGTTCTTTAAAGTCTAATATTTTTTACTTATATCTTAACATGTCAGCGTATTTCTATGATAACGTAGCATATTAGTTTTGATTTAATTACTGTGGCAGCCTATAAATTAGCATCATGAAAAATCTGTCCCATCAAGTGATTCAAGAGAATGGTACTTCAGGTTGCCCTTCTTGTTTTATGAAGAGTGATAAAAACTTAATGGCAGTTTGCTGGAGCTGACAGATTACCCAGCAGCCGGCTATGTCGGTCATGGGTCAGCGCAGGGACGACTCTGTCCCCAGACTCTGTTAACTAAGTGGGCCGGCACTATCTCTGCCCCATCAGCCAGCCAGTCTGTCGACTCCCTGGAGAACGCTAATAAAATATACCTGTCTCCTATTTTGAGACACTGGTTTATTGTAGACAGCTGGCATCTGTTAACTTCTGTAGGTTAACTGAATGATATGCCAAAGGCTTTTAAAAAAAATCTCCAACTTAAGAGACTTTTAAAGCGGGCTTGCAGTGATTTGAAGCCCGTTTAGCAGACAGCAAATAAAGGCTCATGAAGCTACATTATCTTCCTTTGTTATTATCAGATGACAGAAACCCAAGAGCAGGTGTTGCGTGCCTTTAAAAAGGTGTATATATTCAGAAACCTTCAACAATGTTCTCGACCTTCACTCCCCTAAAAACCCCACACACGCAAACACACGCTCCCTCTGACTCCTGCTGTATTCATTTTCCACATGGAGCTATAAGACAAAAGGTGGTCCACTCAGGTAATGGAGCGACTCGGAACACAATCTGCTCAGGTGGAAGACCTCTGTGCTGCCATCTTCACGCCTGAACTGCAGTCAATGACAGACATACAGCCCGACGCCTCTCTCAGAGCACAAACTGCTGGAAGCTTCTCAACTGCTGTTCCAATAACCCTCTATTCACTGAATGGTCTCTCTGCCTCTTTTATGAATACAGCTTGTCTCCCTTGTGTTCAATTACCTGAGTCAATATGGATGTATTGAACCCCAACATATGAGTCAAATCATAAAGTGTATATAGGCTACAAGAACAGGGATATTATGGTCATCTCAGAGGGGGCAGTGAAAATTACACTGGTGATTTGCAGCCCAGGAAGTAAACAGAGTTGTGATATATGAGGGTAATAACACACAAATATGGCTCCGGTGTGGACAGCATCTGTGCAGTGTTGCTGCTTTGCACCAGTCTGACAAAAAGATGTACTCCAGATCAGAGCATCTTGTAAACGGCTTTAAAATTATGCGATAAAATAAAAGTCTATATGCCAACGCCTGTGTGAACGGGTTCATGTGAGACCATGTGCACATTGCGTGCATGAGGCAGCTGCTGCTTTTTGGCACGCACATGCACGCACACACACATACAGCGAGCACTCAGGTAGCAGCTGGGCAGGCTCACCTGTCATATTAATAAAACCAGACAATCCCTTCCATCAGCAGCAGCAGCAACAGCAGCAGCAGCAGAGGCCAAAGCAGACAGGGAGACGGAACAAAAGAGCAGAGTGGCGGAGAGACGTGACAAAGAAAAGGATCAGGATGAGAGGAGGAGTTGGTAACACTTTCTGCGAAGCCCATATCCTTACTATAATAGTATATATATAGTATACCACCTTTGAGACCTGCTGTAACACCCAATAATGTATGACCATAAGGCTGATCTTTTGCAAGGATGTTCATAAAACCATAAATTAATTCATGCTCTATTTTAATACTTATAATTATAAATAATACCAAGTATTATAGCTATACTGTCTTAAGACTGGAGTAAATGTACTGATATTATAGTTATGAATGAGTATAGCAGCTCTTGCAGTGCATTTATACATGTTAAATTTCATTATGTGGATAAACATAATACACTGGATGCCTTATACATATTTATAGGCTATGTATACACACATATGGGCCTTATAGACAATGTTTGTTTCCAATATTAAAATAAAGTAAAAAAAGAATATTGATTTTATTGATTGGTTTTTGTGGTGCACAGCCCGTATGGCAGCAACAATCAAGATGGTGACACAATGCCGAACCTAGGACATTTGATGCCTGAGGCAAGCTTCCCCTGGTGCCACCAACCCTCCCATCCTAAAAAAAAATATTTTATATTTATTGTATTTATTACAAATAAAATCAAGAGCTGATGAGAAATAAACACAAATACTTAGCTGACACAAACAATAATAAAAAAAAATAACAATTTAGAAAATTTGGTAAAAGCAAATTTGCAAATTTCGTCTTCTATTTTTTCTTTTGTAACTTTGCATTTTTATTTTCTCTTATCCATATGCTCTCCACACACACTCCACTATACCCATCAGTGCACCAACATGTTCTGACTGTGATGACTGATGAACACATTAAAGTTAACTGCATTGCCAGGTGTTACTCCTACCTGCTGTGTCATGACTAATCAAACAAATAGTTCCACAAAAAAAAAAGTCTTTAAAGGGTTTAATTGACAAGACACAAGTGTTGTATTATGAGCTGGACGCTTCAGGTCACTGTACAGCCACATATCACATATAAGCACACTCTTTCTCTGTAAATTAAATGTTATATATTCCTCTGTGTGGCAATCTATGATTTGAATGTCATTTCTAAGCTTTGGCTTATTCCAAATCTCCTCTAAATTGTACTTGTAGGTGTAAATTGTACCTTTTTTAGGAGTCACTGGGCAATCAGACAAGAGGATTGGCTGTGGATGATAGAGTGATGACAATACTGATAAGATAACAAGGCCCTTTAGAGACTTTCTGATTGTGTGTGTGGGTCCTGTGCTTGTGTCTCCTCTGCGTCTTGGTGTGCTCCCGTGTCTGTCTTTCTGAGCGTGTGTCGGTGTGAGGGTGCATGTTGCTGCTTGCTCGTGTGTGTGTTCGCTTGGCATCGGAATAGGCCTTGGACAGAGTGAAGAGAGGGCCCAGGGGAGAGGGAAAAAGAGAGAGGGAGAGGGAGGGAGAGAGGGAGAGAGAGAGAGAGAGAGAGAGAGAGAGAGGCGGTGGAACAATAAGGGGTGGTGGAAAATGACAAGCCTGGTAAAGGAGGGCTTCCTGAGAGCACCACATCTAACAGAGGAGGCTGTGCCGCACAGACGAGACCGTCCTCCTCCTCTTCCATTAACCCCTGGAGTGCCTGGTTGCCCAGGTAGAGGCTGATTCATTGAAGGCACTAACAGCTGCTCCATGGGTGGGATCCTGTGTGTTTACTTTTACCTGTAGACTCAGAGAACTCATCCTAAAGCCAATGAAAGCTCTAATGTGTCATAACTGACAGCAAAATGAAAACACTGTCATGGACCCACAAGATCATCTGACAACATGATGAGATTGAAGTTGATTAATCTAAATCTATTGCTGTCAGCACAAATAAAATACATTGATGGATTTTTTTCGCCCCCTTCATTCAGATGAATTAAATTAGCGGAGCACCCCATGCTGCATTGTGGCTGAACCATTGGTATCCTGGCAGCCCCAAAATCAGCCGAGTGTGATTAGGCTGATTACCTACATGGGTGAATTGACAAAACGTGTCCAAAGGAAGAAGTAGGAAATGCTCCATAAAGAATCTTTTGAAATAGACTGACAGGGCCCGGTGAGTGAGCGCCAATTTATGGACGGAGGCACAAAAAAGAAAAGTTCCCAGTGTTCATCGGAGGCCAGTGAATCCAAAATGAACTCTTTTTATGAGGCTGACTTTGCCTCCGTGATGGCGCTCGCACAAAGCAGCCAACAAAGGGCGGCAGTAAAGGGGGAGTTGTGACAAGATAGCGGCACAAAGAGAGAATCAACTTTCACGTGGCTGAATGCAGGCAGCGGC